GTTTTAAACTTAGGAAAGGTGTGTGCCAGGGTTGTAGTCTTTCTCCATACTTATTCAGTCTGTATGCTGACCAAATAATTTGAGAAACTGAATTATAAGAAGAAGAAATTAACATCAGGATTAGAGGAAGGCTCATTAACAACCTATAATATGCAAGCAAAGAGGATTGAAAATAGTTCTGATGAAGATCAAAGATGACAACCTTTGGTATGGGTTACACCTCAATGTAAAGAAAACAAAAAATCTCACCACTAGATCAATAAATAGTATCGTGAAAAATGGAGAAAAGATCAAAGTTTTCAAAAACTTCATTTTGCTAGGATCAACCATCAGTGCTTATGGATACAACAATTAAGAAATCAAACAATGTATCGCATTAGACAACTCTGCTGCATAAGACCTCTTTAAAAATATTTTAGAGCAAATATGTCAGTTTGAAGACTAATGTGTACCTGACCCAAGCCTAGGTATTTTAAATAACCTCACATACATGTGAAAGTTGGATAATGAATAAGGTGTACCATAGAAGAATTGATCATTTGAATTATGGTGTTAGAGGAAAATATTAAAAGTACTATGGACTGCCAATAAAACAAATTAATCTGTGTTGGAAGAAGTACAGTCAGAATACTTCTTAGAAGCCCGGATGCCCAGACTTCACTGCTCATACTTTAGACATATTATCATCAGGTGGGATCAGTCCCTGAATAGGGACATCATGCTTGGTAAAGCAGAGGGTCAGCGAAAAAGAGGAAGACCCCCAACAAGATGCATTGACACAGTGGTAGCACCAAGAGGCTCAAGCATAGCAATGATTACAAGGTTAGCACAGTACAAGGCAATGTTGAGTTCTTCTGTGCGTAAAATGAGATGGCACTGACTCAAAGGCATCTAACAACAACATAAGAGATATGCATGATACTGGGTCGGATCCTGGACATGGAGAAAAAGTAACTACAATACACGTTAGTGAGACATTTGACTAAATTTGAGATAAAATATGGGTTAGATAGTAGTACTATATCAATATTCAATTTCCTGGTTTTCATAATTTTATTGTCCTTTTTTATTGTGTAAATAGACAAAATACCTGCAGTAAACTCTAAGGTGGTTCTGAAAAATGCTATTTCTGTCTATATAATATTATATACACACACACACACACACACACACACATTGCTGTTATTGTGAAGTTCCCTCTAGTCAGTTCCAACTCATACCGACTCTTTTTAGGGTTTCTGAGGAGCAACTTGTGTGTTTGATCTGACAAACTTCTGGTTCGCAGAAGTGCCACAACAGAAGTCATAGATATATACATACATATATACATATATAAGGAGCTCTGGTAGCGTAGTGGTTACGAATCGGGCTGCGAATCTTAAGGTCAGCAGTTCGAAACTACCAACTGTTACACAGGAGAAAGAAGAGGTTTTCTGCTCCCATAAAGATTTACAGCCTTGGAAACCCTGTACAGGGTTGCTATGAGTCAGAACCGACTCCACAGCACCTAACAACAACAACACATACATATATATAAGCCCAACCAAACCCACTGCCATATCTAGTCAATTCCAACTCATAGCAACTCTGTTTGTGACACAGTAAAGCTTTACAAGAGCAGAGAGCCTCATCGTTCTCTCATGGAGCAGTTAGTAAATTTGAACTGTAGACCTTGCAGTTAGCTGTCCTACAGTGCCATGAAGGTTCCTTACTTTTGCATCAAAAATATTTACATGACTATATGTTGACAGCCTTGGAAACCCTGTACAGGGTTGTTATGAGTCGGAACCAACTCCACGGCACATAACAACAACAACAACAATATGGTGATAGTTGCTTTTTAAGTACTATTGAGTTGGTTCCGACTCATAACAACTCTATGTACCATAGAACGGAGCAGTGCTGTCATCTTCACTGTCTTTGCTATGTCTGAACCCATTGTCACAGTCACTGTGTCAACCCATCTCATTGAGATTTCTCCTTTTTCCTGAACCTCGACTTCACCAAGCATGATGCTCTTCTTCAGGGACTGACCTTTTCTAGTAACATGTTAAAAGATGACGCATCACCATCCTTGCTCCTCAGAAACATTCTGGTTGGGGTTGGTAGAGATGACAAGTCACCCGTACAGTATTTAGCTACCCCTAGAATCTATCAGCAGCTCATCCTATCTATATGCTTGAACTTTGTCAGTGATAGCCCATTTAATTTCCAAGTAACTGTTTCTTTTCCCTATTGCACAACCATATCTATCTTAGCAGAGATAACTCTTACTCACTGCCTCTCATGATCATGTTTATACAGCAGACTTTCTTTCTGTACAAGTCTACAACAAGCTTAATTTTTGTAAGGGTAAACAAGCTTTCTCTATCTATACCGGTATATACTAAGAATTTTGAGTTCTTGGAAAGAAATGAGTAATAAATATCTTTCTTTGGATATCCATTTCCATTACATTCAGGCCCACTCTCATCATTTTTTTACCCAAAATAGGAGTTTATTAAATGTCTTCTATTTATTTATTCAGTAAAATAAAGTATAGTTAATTTTTGAGGATGAGGATTGTGCTTTATATATCTCTGTGTCTCCAGGGCTTTGCACAGTGCTTGATGTTATAGCTCTTTGATTATAATATGTTGTATGAATGAATCACTTATTGAAATTGTGTGCTTCTCAGGTTATGGTCTCTGACTTACATGTGCTTGTTGTCAAGTCAGTTCTGACTCAGAGTGATCCTGTATAGGATTTCCAAGGAGCAACTGGTGGGTTTGAACTGCTGATCTTTAGGTTAGCAGTTCAGTACTTATTCTACAGTGCCACATGAGGACTCCTACATGTGTGTGATGTTGTTGCTGTTAAGTTCCATCGAATGGGTTCCGATTCATAGGAACCCTATATAGGGTTTCCAAGGAATGGCTGGTGAGTTTGACCCACTCACCTTGTGGTTCAAACCAAGCTTTTGGTCCAGCGCATTATCCCACAGTGACATCTGGGGACTCCCCTACATGTGTTCATTGGTGTTAAGTGTCATTGAGTCAATTCCAACCCATAACAACCCTGTATAGGGTTTTCAAGGAGCAGCTAGTGAGCTTGAACCACTGAACTTGCATTCAAATGGCTTTGCAGTCTGACACATTAGTCCACAGCATTACACCAGGACTCTGTTGTTGTTAAGTGCCGTCAAGTCGGTTCTGACCCATAGCGACCCTGTATAGGATTTCCAAGGAGCAGCTAGTGAGCTTGAACACCAACCTTTCAGTTCAAATGACTTTGCAGTCTGGCACAGTAACCCACAATGCCATACCAGGACTCCCAAATTCCTAAAACAGCAGCCAGAACTCAGTAATACTTGATACATGCACAAATATATTTTACATTCAATTATACATTTTGCACCCACAAAACAGAAGTTTAACAAGTCAAGTCAATAAACAATTATTGAGTCTCTTCTCTGAATCCACTCCACAGGAGAACAAAGTGGCAATTTGCTTCCATAAAAATTTAGTCTTTGAAACTCTATGTGGCAGTTCTACTAGGTCCTATGGAGTCACTGAGTTGGGATTTACTTGCTGGCAGTAGTTTAGGTTTGGTTTGTCTATGACACAGGGGTACAATAAATATTGGATATATGAATGAATGAACTTCAATTCAACCATAACATATTTCTTGGATAGAGCACAGATGTCTCAGTAAGCAAGACAAAAAGAAATTTCTAAGTGCACACCACATATCATTTGAAGTGCTTTGATGACAACTATCATTTCAATGAATAAATGCTTCATTTTTAGTAGCATCTATATGTGTAATCAGAGTCCTGGTGTGGTGCTGTTGGGTAAGAACTAGGCCACAAGGTTGATCGAAACTGCAAGGTTGGCAGTTCAAACTCACCAGCTGCTCTTGGAAAACTCTTTATAGGATTACTATGAGTCAGAACTGACTCGATGGCACTTAACAACAACAACAAATATGTATAATCAGAGGTGAAAGATCCATTCATCATAAAGAGGAAAAAAATACTATGTGATTTTAATAGTTGTTTTCCTCTATTGACAAAATCTTTCGAACAACTAAAAACACAGCTTCTTAGCTAAACCCATTTAGTTGAAATTCTTCCAACAATCAGTGGGGTCTACATCCCAGCAGAGTTAAGTTCTACAAACAGTGGGATCAGAGAAATAGGCCAAAATGGATTAAGTCTCCCCAATGAAAGGAGGAAGGAGGCTGTGTTGTGTGTTGGCTAAATACAGCCTGCATTAGTTAAATGTTCACTACTAACCAAAGGTTGGTGGTTCAAACCCACCAGCTTCTCCACAGTAGAAAACTGTGACAGTCTGCTCCCATAAAGATTACAAGCTTGGAAAACCTATGGTACAGTTCTATTCTGTTCTATAGGGTCTCCTAGAGTCAGAATCAACTCCACAGTAATGGGTTTGGACTTTGGTTTGGAATGAAGACAGGAAAGAAATTATTTTAGCATTCAACAGCTAAGAAATATTCCTATTTACAATCAATTGCAGCATATTTGAATTAAATTTGGTTAGGCATCACCCTGTTTGGACTGTGCAGTCTGAGATAAAAAGGTTTGATTAAAGTCAACCATTACAGGTTGGAACTAGATTAATTTAAGAGCAATAAAAAAATAAACATTAAAAGAAATAACCAAAACAAAAATGTTGTTTATGCTGAATGAAATAAGTTTATTAGGAGACTCACAGCAAAACCCCTTTGTACCCACACCCAATTTGCCATTCACTAATGTAGAAGTTAATATTACATGAACAGAAAAGCCTTCAGTAGCAAACTAGTTGCTTCACTGCTAAAACTCAGGTATGTCAAGGAGATACATCTTGCTTTCCATGTCTGCAGATGAATATCGGTTTAGAATCCGATTCCTGTGTTGTTTGTTTCAACATCATCAAAGACCAGGACCATGGGAAGAAGTCAGTAAGAAGATGGAAGATGTATCTCCCTAGCACACCTGGAGGCAGGAATACAGTCATCGCTCTTCAGGTTGTTCTGTACACCAGGAATTGATCGAGAGTTCCGAAGCCATTGGTTCATCAGTAGGTGCTGTAGCCAAAGCCAGAGCCAGAGCCCCATGGCCTGCAAAAGCTGCCACCGTAGCCACAGCCCAGGTTGCTGATGTTGCTACCACCAAAGCTATAGCCCAGAGAGCTGTAGCCATTGCATCCACAGCCATAGTTCAGGGGAGAGCCCAGAGGCACGACACAGTTCAAGGGGGTGGCTCTGTAGGTCCCGTGGAAGTTGGTCCCATAGCAAGGATAGCCTGGGAAGTAGCTTCCACAGCAGAAGTAACGAGTCATGGTGATAGGAGTTGTAAAGGATTTGGATAAACTGCAAGGAACAAGTTTCCCAAGTGTGAATGAAGATCTACTTCTGTATGGGGCTTTTTATACCTCAAGTTGGTGGGCATGGCATGCCTGTCTGGACAGCTTCCTTCTAATTTGCATAAGTAACCTCATTATTTTTTCTAATAAAATGCATATAAAGGAACCCAGAGACTCATTGGCTGTTTTTGTTGGCATTGCTGTTTGCTGAGGAATGTGTCGTATCTTCAAAGTCAGTGGCCACCCTTGACGCACGACTGAATTCTTTTCATCAGTGTCCCATGATTTAACTACTGTTATGATTGCATCAGATGAAATTCTTTAAGTCTCTGATTATAAACTCCTCTTCACTTGCATAGGTAGACTAAAATAACTTTGGTAAAAAAAATATGTAAACACTTCAAATTAAGACCATGTCATAGATTAGGGTCTTTTGACCCTTAGAAAACATCATGGAAAAACAAAAAATTGAAATGCTTCAAATACAATGTATGTGTTATTCAATAACATTACTGCACAAATCATCAGGAAAACTCTTTCACAGAATCTGCAAATGTTCCAAATAATAGGATGACTGCAGGTAACATACTAGTAAGTATCGTGTATTTCCTTTATGAGCACCCTCCTTATTAATATGTTTGTTTGTTTGTTTTTTTATGAAGAACATACAATGTTTAGTTGTAAATCTTCTTGGAGATTGTTAAAATGTCTTGCAAAAGAGTTGCCACAAGGGTACTGAATGGAATGATGCCCAATTTCAAAGTCATGTTGGATCACGTTTGGCTCTTATTGACTCCTAGTAAAACAAGCCTGAATGCAGTGGTCCATTATGAACTACCAGTTCTTCTCAGCAGCACAGCATCTACTTGTGCTCTCATTTTTTCTTTTTTTCTATATGGCTTGGTCTCATGACAAAGGTAGACAAACAGAATTCAAACTCACCAAAACTTCATCTATTATTTTTCAAAGGTTTGGGAAACAGTCTTTTATATAGGTGATTAAGAAACTAGGAGTTTTGGTGTGTTGCTGTAGGATCAGCAGTGGACAGCTAACCACAAGGTTGGCAGTCACTATGAGAAACCAACTTAAAAGCACATAACAACAGCAAAGAGGCTAGAAGAACCCTGGTGACACAATAGTTAAGCATGTGTCTCCCAACTGAAAAGTCAGCAATTCAAATCCACCAGCTGCTCTGTAAGAGAAAGCTGTTGCAGTCTGCTTCTTTAAAGATTTACAGCATTAGAAAACCATACAAAGTACCCCTACGCTATCCTAAAGGGTCACTGTGAGTCAGAATCAACTCAATGGCAATGGGTTTGAATTTTGGCTTAAGGACTAGATTCTCTGAAAGTAGAAGAAGAAAATTTACTGAATACAGATCCCTTGCTTATTCCCCTTGGTATGATGGTGGTTGTGTGCCATGGAGCCAGTTCCACAGCATAGAGGCCCTGTAAAGGATGTCCGAGGTTATAAATCCTTTTTGTTATTGTTGTTAGGTGTCATCGAGTTGGTACCAACTCATAGCAACCCTATGCACAACAGAAGGAAACACTGTCCAGTCCTGCACCAACCTCACAATCATTGCTACGATTGAGCCCCTTGTTGCTGCCACCATGCCAATCCATCTCATTGGGGGCATTCCTCTTTTTCTCTGACTTTCCACTTTACCAAGTATGGTGTCTTTCTCTAGGCAATATGTCTGAAATAAGACAGACAAAGGCTGGCCATCCTGGCTTCCAAGGAGCATTCTGACTGTACTTCTTCCAATACAGATTGATTTCTTCTTCTGACAGTCCATCATGCTTTTAATACTCTCCTTCAACACCATAACTCAAATGCAACAATTTTTCTGTGGTTTTCGTTATTCACTGTCCAACTTTCACATGCATATGAGGTTATTGAAAATATCATGGCTTGGGTCAGGGACACCTTTGTCCTCAAACTGACATTTTAGCTCTTGAACATTTTAAATAGGTTTTGTGCAATGTATTTGCCTAATGTCTGATATCTTGACTGCTGTTTCCATGAGTGTTGATGATCGATCTGAGCAAAATGAAGTCTTTGAAAACTTCAGTCTTTTCTCCATTTATCTTGATGTTATTTATTGGTTCAATGGTGAGGAATTTTGTTTTCTTTACACTGTGCCAAAGGCTATGGTCTTTGATCTTCATTAGTATTTAAAATTCTCTTTGCTTTCAGCTAACAATGTTGTATCATCTGCATATTACAGGTTGTTAATGAGTCTTCCTCCATTCCTGATGCCAAATTCTTTTTCATATAATCCATCTTCTCAGATTACTTGCTTAGCATACAGAATGAATAAACACGGTGAAACAATACAACCCTAGCGCACACCATTTCTAATTGCAAACCATTCCGTGTTCCCTCTTCCGTATGAACAACTGCCTCTTGGTCTACGTACAGGGTCCTCATGAGCACAATTAAGTGTTCTGGAATACTCATTCTCCAAAATGTTGTCCCTAGCTTGCTATGATCTGTTGGGAGCGGTTTGAGCTCAAGGTCTCAGACTTGCGGGTATTTTAACTGAAGGATTGCAACTGAACAGTTGTGGTCTCCCCTCAGGAACCTGCAGTGCTGTCTCGGGGGCAGGGAACTTGCAAGGTTTTTCCTTGTATGACTTTTAGTTCAAGTCTGCAAAAACATCTAGCTGCCTTATCTTTGTCTCCTTAGCAAACACAACTTACATTCTTCTGATAAAGTTCCACTTACTGCATGTATCAATAACACCATATTTTTTTTGCACTTTTTTCCCTGCCCCCAGCACTCTCCTTTGACTTGCGTCTATAATAAATGTGCTGAATCTACGTCTGAGTCACAATATCACCATCAGAATGCTGTGTCCCACCTGATCCCAACTTTGCTATTTTTATTTTGTGTCTTTTGTCTTCCTTTTTTTTCTAATCTCCTGTCACCTGTACCTGGGTTTAATATCTCTATGTGGGTCATGGAGTATAGCCATTTGTCAGATGCAGCAATGATCCATACAACTGAAAGCCTTTCCAAAGTCAATAAAGCATAGGTAAACATCTTTCTACTATTGTCTGCTTTCATCCAAGATTCATCTGATGCCAGCAATAATTACCCTTGTTCCACATCCTGGTCTGAATCTGACTTGAACCTCTGGCAGTTTTCTGTCAATATACTGTTCCAGCAGCTTTTGAATTATCTTTAGCAAAATTTTACTTGCATGCGGTATTAATGATGTTGTCCAATGATTTCCATATTCCATTGGGTCTCTTGTCTTTGGAATGGGTACAAAAATGGATCTCTTCTAATTAATTGTTCAGGTAGCTGTCTTCCAAATTTCTTGGCATAGATAGATGAATGGATGACTTCAGTGCTGCATCAGCTTGTTGAGAGATTTCGATTTCTATTCCATCAATTCCTGGAACCTTGTTCTTTGCCAATTCTTTCAATGCATATTGGACTTTTCCCTTCAGTATCGTTGATTCTTGATTATATGCTACCTCTTGGAATGGTAAGACATCAACCATTTCTTTTTGGTACACTTGCTCTATGTAGTCCTTCCATCTTCATTTGATGCATTATCCATCATTCTATATTTTGCCCATAGAATCCTTCAATACTGCAAGTAAAGGCTTGAAATTTCTCTTCAGTTACCTCAGCTTGAGAAATGCTGAGCGTGATCTTTACAGGAACAGAAAACCTTATTTTTCTCCTGTGGAGTAGCTGGTAGATCCAAACTACTGACCTTGTAGTTAGCAGCCCAACTTTAACCCACTGCACTACCAGGACTGTTATGGGCAACATAGAGTCTAACTGGCAAAGCCAATTACTCTCATCAACTGTCTCTTTAAGAGTCTTTTCTTTTCATGTTTTCTAATAGCAAAAGACTTATAATTTTCCACCATGACAATTTCTTGTCTCCTACAAACTGATTAAATGTTTGAGAGTTTGTTGTTGGTGAATATCAAAAGATCAGTAAATCTTAAAACTTAGTTTCTTTTTAGAAGACTGTTTCATCAAGGATGCATATTATATAAACTCTAAATCAGATAATCCACAAAATTGAAAACATTTTTTAAACTAGATAGGACAGAGGGCTAAGAATTAAATGTCACTTGTGAGTGGTGATTTACCTAATTAGTTTTGCTTATCCTGGTGTGGCACTGTGAGCTAATGCATCAGAATGCAATGTCTTTTGAACCAGCTGCTCCTTGTAAACCCTATACAGGATCACTATGGGTTGGAATCAACTCCCCAGCACTTAACAACAACATCTCTCCAATAACATCTTAACTTGCAATTTGCATATGTGACCACGAAGTCGCAGTAGTATTTCAGTTACTAATCTGAACTCTAGGACTCCTGTCTTGGATTCTGAAATACAAGAACTTTGAAGAATTTGTTTGAAATTCAGATTTCCGGGAGCTGTCCTTGCTCACAACTACCATGAGATATTGAGAGTCCAGATTTTTATTAAGCGTTTCAAGTGGTTCTAATGGATAATTCATCCTGATAAACTCCAGGGCCAGTTTTTTTCTGAGATTTCAAGGACTCAATCTTTATTTTTTGTTTTAAAATGCTCTATGGGGGCTTATCTCTCATTAATAGGTATTTTGCTTTAGTCACAGATGACTTATTTCCTTTTATTATGTGTCATTTAAGTAATTTAAGGAAAAATCTTAATTGGTCTGCCATTCCTCTGTGCATTCTTCTTATCTTCTCAGAACACACCTGATTCTTTTCTAAGGAAAGCAGTGACTTTCCTTTGAAAACAGAAAAAGTCCAGGCTTCTTCTCAGAGGTAGACTCCAAATGAGCTGGCCAAATGATTCTGTTATCCCAAACCGGAACAAAAATATTTTTTCTCCTTTCTCTGTGTGCATTTTTTATTTTCCATTGCAATTTTAGAGAACATTCTCAGACAGGTATTTAACTGTTATTTGAAAATTAATTTTATAATAAATATTATTGATAACAAATATTTATGGAAGACTGACTCTGCTAGAGTTTT